GAATAAGGGGTGGATACTGTCCTGGTTTTGGCAGGGATAGAGTTAATTTCCTTCTTAGTAGCTGGTACAGTGCTGTGTTTTGGATTTAGGATGGGAACAAAACTGATAAGGCACCGATGTTTTAGTTGTTGCTAGGTAATGCCTACACTAGCCCAGGACTTTCTAGTTTCCCATGCTCTACCGACTGAGCAGACTGCAGGTGCCCAAGAAGCTGGGAGGGGGCACAGCCAACCTGGCCAAAGAAACATTCCATACCATGTGACGTCATGCTCAGTACATAAACTGGGGAAAGCTGGCCGGGGGAGGCCGCTGCTCGGGGACTGGCTGGGCATCGGTGGGTGGGTGGTGAGCAATTGTACTGTGCATCACTTGCTTTGCGCATTATTATTATTATTATTGTTATTATTATTGTTATTATTATGTCATTATTATTATTATTATTGTTATTATTTTATTTCAATTATTAAACTGTTTTTATCTCAACCCACGAGTTTTTCTCACTTGTGCTCTTCCAATTCTCTCCCCCATCCCTCTGGGGGATGGGGGGAGTGAGTGAGTGGTTGTGTGGTGCTCAGTTGCCGACTGAGGTTAAACCACGACAGTATTAAAAGGAAAAACACCTGCTAAAAACATAAGCAGCTTGATGCCTGAGTTCAGCAAGAGGGGAGTCAGAAGCTGATCAGATGGGCCTTGTGTTGATCCCTCTGACATAAATGAAAATTATTGCACAGTTTTTAGTTAGTCATGGTATGTGATTCTGGTGTTAAGTGTCCAGAACAAAAATGGAAGAGGTCTTTAAAACACATAGGCAAATGAATAGATATTTTGACTGTGAAATGCCATGAAGTATATCATGCAATACATACCTACATGCCTCTATGCAGAATAAGGATTCGGAATAAGGATGCAGGAAGTTATTATTAGGAGGATTATTTAAGACAAGACTTGAGTAGGGACATTTATAGTTTGTCTGTACAGCATTGCTTACCGTTATTTACAGATGTCATAAATACAATAACTACAGTAGATTTTAAGTAATCTGGACACTGAGAGCCTTGATATCTATAAATTAAGATATTGGCAATTCATTACTAAATTGTTCTAATGCTATACAGTGCATGTCTTTGATGAGCCATTTTCAATTAGACCCATCTTCATGCTCCTAATGCTTTTTCCCAAAAGCATGAACAAAACCAATCTGTTAATGTCCATCTGCAGCAGCTTGGCATGGGGAGCAGGCTGCCAAGCTGGCTTTCTTCTGCTTCTGCATCAGTGAGGTGATCCTGAATTATACTCCTGACTGAGTGCAGCAATGTAGTTATAATAGAGAAATATACAATCCAGCACTTTATAACACACAGGAAAGATGTTCAATTATTCAAAAAACATTGTCCAAAAAAAAAAAAAAAAAGAAACAAGAGAGGTCATGGGTGGGCAAAGTGTTGGCAAAATACAAAACATCACGTAAAACCAATAGCATCCAGGGCAACATAAGAATTTAATGAAGAAAAAAAGGTTTAAAAATTTTGCTATTTTTCTTTCTTGCATCATATTTTCAAAGACCACAATGTCGAAACTCTCTTGCTTTGGCATCATCACAAGTTTTTGAAACATTTCAGACCCAGTAAATTCTAGGATGTTTTAAGCAACTCTGTAAACAGTATTCCCAACAGTTTCATAATGATGACTGATGCATTAGGAAAAGTAGACCCAGAATGTTAAGAAGACTCTGGGAAGAGCCTCCCCAAAAGCTCTGCAAAACAATCTAATTCTTTACAATTTTTAACCTAACAAGCACTATAAGTTTAGCTTCTTCCAAAGTAGTTTACTGCCATTTTAGTTTGAAATTAGGTTCTATATGTGTTGCTCAAATGTTATTTTTGATCCTGAGCTGCACAGCATGAGAAATACGAAGCACTGAAGTAACTGGAAAGCAATGTGCTTTCTTAAACAACTTTAGTCAATTTCAGTAACCTTTTAGAAGCTTTAGAAGGCTACCCAGACAAACTACTACTAGGTAACTCTCTCAAACTCCTGATGAGGTGAAAACTCCTGCAGAAATAGAGGAAAATGAAAAATCTGAATGCCTGTCTTCTGTCATGAGAGAAAGAAGCCTAATCTGAACACAGTGCAAATCCACAGAATTCAAGGTCATTTTTAGTGTTTTGTTTTCTTGGGGGGTGGGAGGTGGGAGTTTTCCCGATTTATACTAAGCTAGCATCTTGTCTTGAAAATTTAAAGCTAAGAAAAGAAAGATCCTATACAGTAGAACACTTTTGTTACCCTGTGCAGCTAAAGTTGAGTACAATTCCCCAGCTTCAATCAAAGCCATTGTAAACCATTATGGCTTGTTCAGTTCCTATCCTAGTTGAGGTTGTAACTCTTGTTGTGAACTGAAAGAGCCTATGGCACATGGCTTGTTTGCTTTATGCTCTGAGAAAACATTCCAGAAAGCACATAATGCAAAACTCACAGTCTCCAAACTGTTGTTTGGGTCTGTTTAATGGAAGGGTTGAACTATAGTAATTAGAAAGACCCAGGGATGTTTATCAAATTGGTTAAAATACTTGGAATAACAGCAAGTGCCTCAGGTTCTAGATCTTAATGGATTACATATTCACATTAGATTACAATGAATAAGTAGTTGTTGAAACTTAGGTGCATATATGATAAGAATACTGTTGCATTGGCCCTTGTGGAGATGATGGATTGTTGCTGGTCTTCAGCTGAAGATTAGGCATCTGTGGACAGGCTGGTCATAGAGTATCAGCATTGTCTTTGTAGATGCAACAACTAGTTTTTACTGACCTCCTCCCCACCTTTTTTTTAAAAAAGGAAGTAAGACGGCTAGATTTAGAAATATATTCTGGATGAGTTCACCTGCAAAATCCCCTCTTTGTCACCAAAGGCAAGGAATGAGCTTTATTATGTTATTTAGTATCTGCTATGTATACTCTGAATTTTCTGATTTGTTGCAACACTTTCTGCTTCTTTGCCATGCAAACCACTAGAGGACAATTAGACTTACCAATCACCTTTTTTCTCCTACTAGTACAATGGGGTAGACATGTTCTACTGGTGTAAATCATGCATACAGAAGTGACTATGTTCTTCAGAATTGCTGAGTAACAAGCTCTGGAAACTGTTCCTAAATATGTTTCTTTTATTCATTTTCTTGTGGTCTGTATTTTTGACAGAATGACAACTATATCTTGCTCTGTTTTGACATGGAGAAACTACCTTTTGACCAGAAAAACAAGTAGTTCAGCAATTGGATTTGCTGGTTTATAGAAGAATACAAATGAAGCTTTAAAAGAAATTGTTAGCTGGGATATTTCTGGTTTTATTAAATACTGTGTTTGTATTCTTCTCTCTCTGTAACTATATGGAAGCCACCAGTTATTTCACAAAAGGCTATGCAGTCAGCAGCTAGGGAAAAAGGGCGTTATGAAGCAGTCTACTAAAATTACCACTGGTGTTCTGGAAATAATTCTGATTCTGTCTCAAAAATTTGGTTGTTGAGGATCTCAAGCTCATTCTCCAAATGTTCTTCTGTTTCACAGTGTCAATTCCTATGAAGTTCAAGCTTGAGCTACCTTCCTTTAAAGGAAGGTGGAATGCTTAACCAGGCAATCTACCTACTCCTGGAGACTGGAGGCATCAAATTCAGTTTCAGTGTTTTGTTTCACTGAAAGTTAAATCTGAACTGACTGTGGTTTGTTTTGTTCCCTGTTCTTTGTATGTCAATCCGTCATTAACATGGGATAGGTGGTACATATTGTAGGGAATACTGTTATGGTGAGAAGTATCTTCACATTGAAAAGAAAACCCCAAAACAAAACTCCTTCTCCTTTAGAACAGGTTTTCTATTTTCTGAAGGAAAGAAACCACACACACGTTTGTTTTAGATTCAACTGACAGAAGTGCTTGAGTTAATCATAATCTCTTTTGTTGTAGATATGACTGGAAACCAGAGACTAGACTGGTAAAATCATTCTGTGCTCAACTAATTCCTAGAACTGGCTGTTATTTTCCTTCTAGTAGTTTGCCTCTCTCAAATTGCTGGGGGTTGGAGAGAGTATGAGGCTAAAGAAGTCGGGTGTGAATCTGCATTATTACAGAAATAGACGTGGCCATGTATCTTTTATGACAAAATCCTCTTCAGAAGAAAATTTCCCCTTGCAAAGATTGGAAGATGCCACTTACCTGAACGTTACCAAAGCAACTTCCTCCTGGCAAGGTAATGTAACTCATAAATGGTGGGCCCAGGGATGTCAGTGACTCATATAGAATGATGCCTTCACTTGGAAATAGGGCTTTCTGCTTCTGTTTGCTTTCCCGGAACTCCTGCAATATTGCTATGACATTCACTGTCAAAGACATAAAAATGCTGAATGTAGGATACTGTGTAAGTCCTTGATCTTGACTTGGTGTTTTCTGTTAGACAAGAAATGCAGATATATGACCTCGATACTTTAAATATCTTCACCAGTATTAAAAATTCTATGATTGTGTCCCTGGTGTGAAAATGTGATCCCATTACAGAGACATAGGCTGAGGAATTTCAGGGATTACAGATGCTGTTGAACATTCATTCTGGGCCAGCAGTGTTGTTCTTTTAAGTCAGTATGTTGGAACAGCAGGAACGGAGCAGCTCACTTTGAAACAAGAGAAAATGTTATATTCTAATTTCTCCTTACCCATGTTCAAAAAAATCATGGTTGCCCAGAGAAATCAGCTTTTAATGCAAAACTTTATGAAGTGGCCATGCTAAAATTGTTGCACGTTATGACAGTAATAGTTACAGGCTAATGTGAAAATGGAAATATGAAAATCAGAAATTCAGCTAACAGCATGATTATTGATGTGGTGCTCCAAAGTTTTAAATTCTGTGGTGGACTTTTTTCACAGGTTTTTGCTTTGGACTCAAAAGGGATTTTGTGCCTAGTTTATCTAGACACCTTTTACAAAACCAGCTGTGTTGTAGGTCAGAAATAAATTCCTTTTCTAGGAGGTGACTACAGAAGGAAGAGCACTGTATAGATGTTCTTTTCAGCTTTGTCACAGCTCCTGCCAGTATTTGCTTTAGACCTTGCCAGAAAAGCCAGTCTACCCAAAAGAACATTTGTGTAAGGTGCTGCTGTCAGTAGTAATCCCTCACTTAAAAATTAAAAGTTTAAATTAGAAGGTGAGAACTAAAGTTCTTACTCTGGGCCTTCCAGTGGGATATGGATTAGTCCTAGTCAATAGCATGAACCCTTCTGAGTAATGATAATAATTTAGTATCATAATGCTATAAGGCATTAACTGTTTGTACAGGAATCAGTGGGATTCAGAGGATAAGTGGGGGCAGAGATAACTTCCTTCCTTAGCTTTCCCATTTCTTCATTCAATCTGAGCTTGTTAGTCGGGGGAGAAAGGAAAATTAATTAATTTTGAGATAGTGTCACCCTGGTGGTAGCTCACATGCAGTCTACTGATGTTTCCTGCAATATGAGCCATGTGATCTCCAATAGTGTCTTCTCCTGTTTTTTTTTACTTCACTATTCTCATATGCAACAGCTTTTCTTGGGCATTTAGTCAGGATAAGGATAGGGGCAGAGAGTGTGACCATCACCAGCCTTCTTCTCCTTTGTGTGCTCAAACATGAGGACATGTAAGCAGTATGGTCTGAGTTCTTGGGAACCGAGGGAGAGTGGTTGGATTACACTGCTCTCTAGCACTGGAATGGTAATCACAGATGCAGCAGTAGTGTTGGTGCCTGCTAATTCTGGCATTTTGAGTGTTTAAAGCTGCAGAACTGTCATTGCATCTGACTATTGTTTCACCACAAAGAAGGCAGTTATCTGAATAAAAGTAATCATAACAAGAAACACCTTGGGATAACCATCTGTCATGGTGCAGCTGAACTTTATGAAAAACTTAAATACAGAGAAACAAAAGAAACTGTCTTCTGCTTTTCTAAATTAATCCCCTCTTAATAATAAGATCACTTTAGATCTTATTGTGGAGGGTTCTGTTCTAAGCACTGCTAGTTTCTGAAATTCAGTACTTGGTAATCCAGAGAAATTAAGTAGTTTTCTGGAATTGTTGACTCTGCTTTTATACTCAAGAAAGGCAGTTATGACCTATAAGTAACATGAGGGGAGAAAAATTGGAATTTTACTCCAGTAAACTGCTAGCAGAACAGACCCCAAAAAGTAATACACCTTGACCAAGAATGCTTCAGAAACTGGTCTTTCTGCTGAGAGTGTCTCACTGATGTAAATATCTGGGCATTTTACACTGATGTAAAGGTCTTTTATGAGACCTTCTGTTTCACAGAGCATTCACATATGTATTGGGTAACAATCTAGTTCAAAACCCATTAAGTGAAAGGTGATATTTAGACATAAATTCCATGAACGTCAAATTTCCAAGCTTTAAATGACAATTCAATAGAAGCTGCTACTTCAGTAAAGAAATGGTATTGATGATATTCAGTCCTTTATTGGCATTGAAATAGATCCCAATAAAAATTACCAACATCAAGAACACCACAGGTTTAGGATGCCGCCGTAAAGCACTTTGGCCTTTCAAACAATTGTCCGAGTGTAATGATTAAAAACAATAATCCAATATCCTCAGGAATACCAGATACAGTGGTGCAGGTAACCTAGAGTACTTTTGCTGGTCTCATCATTTAACCTGTATATTACAACTTTCATTTGTATATTACAACTTTCATTTAAAAAAAAAAAAAAAAAAAAAAAAAAAAAAAAAAAAAAAAAAAAAAGTCAGCCATATCATCATCAGATTGAATATTCCACAGCTGCTGAATACACCTGTGCCAGAGTTTTGTGCTCTGCTTTACCTGTCAAGTCTTTAACAACATGTAGGCTGCAATTGGCAAAGCAGCACAGGAAAGTCCCAAGAAATTTTGACCAATTTTTGCCCAAACCAAGTCCCGGAATTTTAATGTCCAATGCCTCTAGCCATCCTTGATGGAGGGAGGAACTATGCACAAACACCATGCTTTTGCTTATTGAAAGAAAATGATAGTGGTTCATACAAGAAGCACCAGGTATTTAAACTGCTTAATACCAACAATAACAACAGGTAGCCTTCTAAATTGTGGTGGGGGGACGGCGTGTGCATGCATGACCTTTGTTTCTCTTTTATTGTCAGTTTTATAGCAATTAAAAGAGTTCAGAATATAAAATTTCTGTTTTTATTTCCATTCTTCTTCATGAGTCCTTTTGAAGGTAATTCAGCATTTGGACAGCCTGCCTTTCTCACTTGACTGAAAGTTTCCACTCAAGTTCCAGTTTTCTGCAAGCTAATAGCCACAAGACCTTTTAAGTGTGCTGTAGAAGTACCTCTTTTTACAGCCATCCACCAACAAAAATGAGGCAGTGTCCCAACTTTTGTTGAAATCCCAAAACATGCTTTTGGCTGTCACAACCTCTGCAGATAAAGAAATATTTTATTAGGGGACTAATAAGCAGTGAGTAGCTATTACAGGTTAAACTAATATGACTAACACTTAAACAGTAGCTGAGCAGCAATACTTCTGATTAGAGTTGCTCTCTGTCAAATAAAGTTCATATACATAGCAAGCTATGCAGCAATCTGCATAGCAGATTGAATATCTCTGTAATTAAGTGCCTGGTTTTGTACAGAAGTGGACAAGGAGCAGTCATAAAATTTGGCTCAGCTGTGGGTATGGCAGTATCTGTCTGGAAAATACTTGGTGTTGTGTATGTGGTGGTAACATCTCAAATTACCACTGCAATTTTTGCTGTGTTTTTTCAACCCCAGCCAAAATTAGCACATCAAACCACTGATGTACACAAAGCTGTGTCATGTCAACTGTAGGATGTGACCACAATAGCAGTTTTAGTTATGACAAACAATTTTTTGTGAGACTGCTTTATGATTTGAACGAGTAAGTTTATTGTCACAAGGTTAAAACAACATAGCGATTTCAAATAGATAACTAAACCAATTTCAGCTAAGCTAGTAGAAATTCTGTGTATATATATGCCTAAATGCTTCATCCTAAATTATTCATACATTTAAACGTGCTACAAATTTCTAAAAGATGTCTACCAAAAATATTTTTAATTTTATAACACTGTATTCCTGATAACCATTTATTTGTATATTTTCATTATATGTCATGTAGATTTGTTGTAATTTCAGAAGGCATGAAAAAGGTATGTATGTGTTCAAGTCTACAATTAATTGTGCTATGGTACTGTTCTGAAACAGTACCGTGATTGCTAATGTTTTATTAAGATCTCCCAATATTAATTTCTCCTGTAAGACATGCATTCTTTGGTTTCATTTTTAAACACTCCAGGAAGAATGTTGTTTCTTCATATGCTGTGTATCAATATTTTGTATCCAACTGGTCTAACGATGTAATGTATTAACCATGAGGATTTTCAGAAATAGTAGCAGTACATAGATGAAACAGCAAGATTTGCTTTTATTTGAGAGGATTAGTGAAACAGAACACTGCAATTTATTTATCATTTTGAAAGGCCATTCTCATTCTTGTAATTGCTTCTTGTATTTTGAATGATACCTGTGAAATGGCTGACATTTAAAATTATTATAGTATTCCTATGCATTGAGGACCACTTTTTTCAGGATTAAATTATCTGTGCTTTATAAATTCTTACTTTGTTTGCCGTTGATCGCTGAATCGGTTAACTGTATTGATTTTATTGAAGTCAATGCTAAGTCTCCTCTTCAAACAGACAATATTTTATCTGTAAATCTACGTGTGCTCCCTCCCTATCTACTCAGATCTTTCTCAATTGGAGGCTTATAGTAGTACAAGCATTACTGAGTTCAAAGGTAAGAATTTCATATATACTTCTTCTTTAGTTCTCTCCCATCTCTGAATATTAAAGGTTTCACAATAGTCTATTTGATTTTGGCTGTAATGTCTAGTTATGAGGTGAGAAGATATTTGATTTTGGCTGTAATGTCTAGTTATGAGGTGAGAAGATTATCTTTTTCTGTTTCTCTACACTGCTTTTTAATCAGCTGAAAAAGCATATTGTCCAGGAGTTAAGTGTTGTACCTGGTGAAGCTGTCCTAGGGTATCCTGTTTGAAGTTCTCCTGGTCTGCAAGGATTTTTTTTTTTTTTTTTTTGTGGAGCAGGCTGCTTGGAAGCTCAGAGTTCTGCAGAGCAAAAATACATGGGTATTCTATTGCATTTACCCTAAATGAGCCCTGAGCTCTTTTCAGTATTCATAAATACTGTTTTATGTGAACCAGATTTGGAAGAGGAATAAATGATGAAACGTATGTTATATCACAGCATTATTTTCCATTTGTTTTCTCACCTTTGAGTAGGAAATGCCTTGCCTCCAC